ATTTAATGACCGATTAAGGTAGTAAAGGCGAAGTTTATAGTGAATATGAAATTGGAAAAATAAAGAGTAATTCAGTAAATGAAGAACATCAAAACAATAACAGCTTCACCGTTGTTAAGTCCTTTAATCATCTTTGGGATGTTAACTTTTATAATCAAAGAGAAGTGCCACAAAGAGGGCAAGTGCAATTCCTGCACCGAATGCGGCCAAAATCGGACTCAAGGGTATTAGTCGATTGGCGAGATAAAAGACACCAGCAATGGCCAGAAGAGCAGTGATTCCTGCTGCTACAATTGCCGCAATAGCCATTCGAGATGAACCTTGGAGGTTTACCAAAAGTAAGAAAATGGCGACAAGTAGGGCCCCAACAATCGCAGCTGCCAACAAAAATCCTACGACCTTAAATGCGTGGTTTTGAATGCAATTCGTTCCAAAAATATTTCCTGGACAGGGCCATTTTGGAACACCGATTGAAATTATAAGCAGAATGAGAACCAGACATGCAAGAAGACCAAAACCGAAATTTCGATTCATGATCTAAATCAATAGAGATTAGATTGTAGAGCGTTCACTGTTTTCTACTTAAGTACGATCCCTTAAATACTGCTGTTTGCTGCTATTATTATTGGTCACACAAAGATTAATAAAAGAATTATAGCTAATAGCAGGCCTACTAGAATGAATTAATTTCCCCAATTATGAATAATGGCTGATCATAAAAAAACCTTATTTATCAAGATGGATTTAATGCCTTTTTCCTACTGTTATTATTATTATTATCCATTTTCATATTAAAAATGACAAAATTATAATTTCAAATAAGGAATTAGGTAACCTTGCGCAGTGATTTGTGAAATGGACATTATGGGACACGTAATCGCTTTGTGTGTCATCGTATGCTTGCATGTCTGCTCGCCAGGATTGGGAGATGTGGGACACGTTATCGCTGTGTGCACCATCGTATGTCTGCATGTCTGCTCGCCAGGATTGGGAGGTCTTATGCCTGCATGTCTGCTCGCCAGGATTGGGAGGTGCGGCGGTACACTCTGTGTGCAGCGACCGTACAAACAGTGACCACTAGCCTCTGTTTGTTTGACCTAATCCGCCATCCTGATCATGATCGAACCGGCGACCTGGGAGGTGCGACCGTACAAACAGTGACCAATCATTAACCTCTGTTTATGACCGTACAAACAGTGGCCAATCATTAACCTCTGTTTAACGCGACCGTACAAACAGTGACCAATCATTAACCTCTGTTTAACCTAATCCTCCATCCTGATCATGATTAAGCCACCAACGTGTACACTTTATCCTCAATATACTTGCTGAATTAATGTGCTCCTTGCTACACGTCTGTTTCCTTTATAGCTGGGCTATGGCTTAGCTGGTTCTGGGAGTCTAGCTAGATGTAGGAGAATTTGCCATAGAGATTTCTGAGTCAGTCAGGCTTTACTAGCGTAGCCCATAGAGAGCTCTAAGTCGGTCAGACTTTACTAGCGTATCAATCCGCTACAGCATCTACCTTTAAGCGGAAATTGCCTATATACCAATTCTTTCCATATGAAGAGCCTTTTTCTCACCATTTCTAATGTTTTTTCATCTATTTAAGCTATCATAAACTTAAGCCCTCACAAAATTCTCTAAGATTTCTATTCGCAGGCATTTCTTATACTGCTATCATGACTGAATGTGTTTTGTGATTTTAGTGGCCCACTCAAATTATCAGGTTATACTGTCAATTTTGTTCTTTAACTCTTCTGTTCTCTGTTTGTTGAAAATAATTGAGAAAGTCAAAAAAGAAAAAGACAAATTTTGAAATGTTCTAAACAATGGAGAAATCTGGCTCAATGTTCACTAGACACTTAGCACTCTAATTCCACTCTCGATTGAAGATCAAACCTTATTTATTTAGACATACATGTTTACCTATTTTTCCACTAATAAAAGCAAAATTCTTATTTAAAATAAATCCTTTTATTTTATTTTAGCCCTCAATACTGGGGTTATTTTAATAATCTACAGACTTACGTCAAACTATTCTGTCGCTTAGTAATTCATTCGCAAAACTTAGTATCTGAATTAAGTTATCTTCCACGG